GTGAAATATTTTTTTTTTACCCCCACCCCTGTACATCTCATCTTCATCCTGTCTTTGGTGTATACAAGTGATCTGTATAATATATTATATATTAATGCCTTATCTTCCCTTATCCTTTGAATTAACCTTCTCATGTCCATCCTTCCACTATATGTGACATGTACATTAACCCCTTCTCCTCCTCCTTTGTATGACCTGTGCATTAATGATTCGCTGTATCTAATGCACCATTATCAAGCTACATGACGTAAAGAAATCTGTGCTGAAATTTATATGCAGTCTTCCATTGCTGACCACCTGAAAATGCTAGTTTCTTGGCTGTCTCTGGATTTATTAGTTTGTTAGTCACTGACAAAAATAAACATGCAGATCAAGAGAGTGAATTCCAATTCCAAACTGTGTCCTGGAACAGTGATTTATCCAAGCCTTTTGATAAGCCAGGAGACTAGTATTCTTAAAAGTACAAACAAGGTCAGCAGTGGCAGCCTCCATGCTTCTTAACCATGGAATTCCTCAGCAAGATTTGATTGGGGGAGTGAGTGCCATTTCTAATTTCTGCCCCATAAAACAGAAAGGCTATTGACTTTATGGACATAGATATACTGGAATGTATATAGATATATTTAATAACTTTTATCATACTACACTTATTATAAATGAGCATAATGTACTAGTTGCCCACCTGCTTTTACAGACAAATTCCAGGGAAATGGCTAACTACACAGTTTTCCTACATACATGTACAGGGCTTGAAAATTAACTCGTCCTCTCGTTTGTGACAAGAGGACGCCGTAGCCGGACGAGTAGCAACTCGCACGGAATTAACCGCTTCCTGGCCGGCCGTTGTAATTAAATGGCCGCCCGGGAGCTTTGGGCGTTTTTAGACCTCCTCACCCGTCACGCTCATGCACGCCAAGTGGGAAAACTGCTTAAAATTGTAAACAGCCAGCGTTGGCTGTTTACATACAACCGGTCCGGCAGCTGTAGAGCCACTGGATTGCTTGTATAATGCATGCTGGTGTGCCCCCCCCCTCTGCCGATCCCCGTTGTGTCCAGTGAGGGCTCGGCAACCACAAAGGTGGCTCTGTCACCGGAGATCATCACATGAGGAGATCATCACTTCTCCTCGTTCTATGTCTCCATAAAAGGGGCCTGTCTGTGTAAATTAGCTATCACATGGGGGGCTTCTTATCCCCCTATGTGATAGCAATGAAGTTAAGTGAAAAAAAAATCATAATTTTAAATTAAAGTTACCCAAAAAAATAATGTAAAGTCAAATATTAAAATAATAATTTAAAAAAAAACAACGAAAGTCAGAGTGAGGGCAATCATTTTAGGGCCATTAATAATAGTCCGGTCATGCTGACTGGTGACATTTTTGACTGACTGGTGAGACACCCTAAAAATTTTCAAGCCCTGTACATGTATATATGTAAACTGTCCTGCATGGCAAAGTATTTTTATTCTATTCAACCAGTTTTGTGATCCAGACACCCAAGCCAGAGAACACAGTCTGGTCCTTTCTTCAGTTAATACTGCAGTTGTGTATTACAGCTTGGAGTTTCACATTAAAATAAAGTGCACATATCCTTTTTTGCACCTACTCTTTCTGAGCTAACCTATCCGCTGTTTGTTTACAATCAGGCCAGCTGATTTTCATTGCACTGCTTACGTCTGTGCAATAGCTTCCCATGGGGTTCTGAGGAGCAGTCTCCTGAGGCAAGGGGTGAGGCAAATGAGAGCGCAAATCCTGGGAGTATAAAGGGTGTAGGGGCAACCAATGTCTGTGTTACAGGTAGAAAGAACAAGAACTCATCAAAAAACAAAGCATTCGGGACTTACTTGAGGAGCTGAGGGTCCTGACAGGGGGGGCCCTAATGGGGTTGTGGTGATCCGAGACGTATTCAGAGTATCCCGTGGGTGAAGGGATAGATGGTAAATCAATTTGTACTGAGTGCTGTGTGTGCCGAGGGGCTGGTGGAGAGGCTGCCTCTAGTCTTGATCGCAGTGTTTTTAGGACGTGATGGGGTGGAAGTGAAAAACAGCTGGGGAAGAACTGGTGAAGGAGCGACACGTTTCGAGGTGATCCTCTTCTTCAAGCTCAAAGGGTAAGACCATCTATCCCTTCACCCCCGGGATACTCTGAATACGTCTTGGATCGCCACAACCCCATTGGGGCCCCCCCTGTCAGGACCCTCAGCTCCTCAAGTAAGTCCCGAATGCTTTGTTTTTTGATGAGTTATTGTTCTTTCTACCTGTAACACAGACATTGGTTGCCCCTACACCCTTTATACTCCCAGGATTTGCGCTCTCATTTGCCTCATCTCTATGTCCACAGGTTTCTCCCCGTTTGTAGAGCAGCAATCTCCATCGACCATTCCCACACATACCCCACATTCTCATGAAAGCGCTGTGTCCCTTTTTTTCGTTTGTTCCTGAGGCAAGGGACCCTCCAGACATGGTCTCATAGAACCTCATGGGAAGTTACTGTACAGACATGGCTAGCCCACTGAAGATCGGATGCAAACAGCAGAGGCTTCGGACACTATTGCGAGGTAAGTATGCATCTAGGAAGGAGTTAGTGTGGGCTAGTTTAGCTCTGGATGGGAAGTAAGAGTGTCCAAAAACGATAACTGCACTTATGCTTTAAAGTGACACTAAACTCAGTAGTTAAATCTTAACAATGCATTCACGTACCTTAACAATTAACAAAAATGTAAAATGTAATCACTAGGCTGTAGATCCTCAAATCATCTCTAAATTGATGCAGACACTGTCCTTCCTTCTGGAGGGTGGCTACTTTTGTTCCCCATGGTCCCTGTGTGTTATAAAGTAGCCACCACTCCAAGCTGACCCCCGTGATAGACTACAATTTCATAACAAATTAGTAAACTAAATGTGAGATTGTAGTCTAGAACAGGAGCAAGGTTAGAGGGGTGGCTACTTTACAACACACACAGGGACCATGGGGAACAAAAGTAGCCACCTTCCAGAAAGAAGGACAGTGTCAGCATGAATTTAGAGATGATTTGAGGATCTTCAGCTGAGTGATACAAGTAAGCTACATTTTTGTTAATAGTTAAAGGAGAACTATGACATGAGTGATTTCCACTCACCTCATAGTTCTAAGCCGACCTGTGACAATGAGACTGTCACAGGTCGGCTCAGTAATAAGTGTAAAAAATAAATAAATGTTTTTGTCAGTTTATATCAAGCAGTCACTATGACTGCATGATACATTAGCTTTTTTAATTTTTAGTTATTATTAGCCTGCTCCAAACTTAGGAACAGCTATTAATAACCTTAGAGACTGATCCTGACAGCATGTCAGAATCAGATCTCAGTAAAGGTCTTTGATCGTTCCTAGACGATCAAAACTGATACATTTCACTCAGAGATACATTTGTATCTTGTGCTTGAAATGTATCATTTAACATCAGGCCAGGCTATACAGCTGTCAAAACGAATAGCAGAGAGGTGAGTCACTGCTACCTCTCTGCTATCTTCAGCTGTCAGATACGGGATCGCTAGGCCACATTGTGACGGGACGTACACTGTACGTCTCCAGTCACGAAGGGGTTAAGTGATGCCTCTTGATCCACACATCTTCCTTCCAGTTGTTTTCAGCAGTTCCTCCAGCGCTGGTGCCGCTCTCTGATCCAGCACAGACTGCTGTTTCTTCCAGTGTCCCACGTAGTCTTTCCAGCGTGCACGTTCCCGGCTGCGTGCATTCACTTCTACGGTGTCTCTCCTCCTCTCCCCTCTAGGTGATATGGACTGTGCATGCGCCCGCACACACTTCCTCCTGGCCACTCGGGAAGATGTGGTCTGCAGCCGGGACAGAGTGGCGCAGACCTAAGTTATTGTCTATTTGACAATTTGCTAAAAAAATTTTTTTTGCCATATATCTACTGCTTGCTAGCAGTAGAAATAAAAAGAAAACAAGACCTTACTTCTACTTTAAAGTACTTGAATGCGTTTTAAAGGTTAATAGTCACTTTAAGAAAAAAATACACCAATGGAAACTTGGACAAATTGTCTCTTAGATAAGCGTATTTTTGTTATAATTATTTAGTGTGTGTGTCAAAAGCAGTGCAGCTTTTTGAAGGGTTAAGGCCTCAGTATATACCTAAAATATAACTTTATCTTAAAAAAAAGTCTAAATGGAATATAGTTTTAGTTATTGGATTAGTCATTTGATCACAGACTTACATATACAGCAAAGTCCTTTGGAGCACTTGAAATTGTTGACTTTGGTGACAAAGAACGAGGGATGTGATCTAGAGTGACAGCTGTTGGTTGGATGTGACTAGACAAGCGAACTACAGCATACCCTTGGGATCCTCTGAAAGCCCAGCAGTTACCTGGGTTTGAATCTGGCTGGAAACATTAAAACAAAACAAGTTTAGAGACACAAAGTAAAAGTAATTATAAAGGAACATCATACAAATGTAAAATACTGAAATGTGAAAAGTTATTTATGTGACTTGCTGACCCAACCTGGAATCAAACAACCCAAATTCAAATGGCTGTTCATTCAATATTTTTCCTCCTGGTCACAGTAGTCATATTTAAACTGTGAGAAATATTTTATTTTTATTTCTGTAACATTCACAAGACCAGAACAAGACTCCTGGAGTGTTTGAGGCACAATTGTAACAACACAGGTAAAGTAAATATTTGCATGCAAGTAATTTATATGCATTTAATAATGTGTATATTACGATGGAATTATTAAAGATGAAGTATAAATAACATTACTCAAGGTTTTGTCGCATTATGCTTTTACCTGAAGGATGACTCGTGGGGACTGTGATTGGTACCATAGTGGAACCCCAAACAGACTGAGCAGGGCAGTTTTGGTTTCATAGGTCTCAGAGCATCTAGTGTTTAGAACACTGGCTCCTATGAGAAAGTAATTATAGAAGGAAAAAATCACTAAAACATTCATCAGTATTTGAGGATTCATCTTTATGAATAGTTAAGGCAACTTAAGACAAATCAACCTGACGATTCCAGAGCATAATCCACCAATCCAATTCGGTCCTCACTATATCTCTGTAGGGCACGATTTACAATTTCGTACACCTCCTGCAAAGAAGATAATGCGCACAAGTTAATAAAGAGGTGCATGAGAAGATATATACCTTCACTCAAAGAAAGCAGACTGAAGTAAATACAACAAGCTATCTGTAATCTCTAATTTGCACCTCCAAAAGATAACAGAAATCTACATATCAGCATTGTGATTTATTATCTAGTTTTTAAATTATCTCAGTATTTATTTTAATCTCTTTAGTGTGGTCAAATCCTCTACCTTCAGACAGGACTGTGTTGAGGTAACGTATGGTAAAATGTGTGTTTGACAATGTGTTATCATAACGTACAAAACGGACAGCGGTACATTGCTGTGCCATTTATTCAGGGTGCATTACAGAAAAACTCCAGGAAATAAATGTCTTAACACTTGCAGTGGGGCAACCCCTGCACTGCAAGGATTTAGTGCTCATTTTTGTCTAGGTGCAAAAATAAAAAAGTTATACTCACCCGATCCTTGGAGCTGGCTGGCTGTTAGGCCGGTCCTTCCAGCTTCTCCCGCCTTCCGATCCAGCGGTCTAAGGTTTCGTGAGTCATCATGTCCAATACACAGTGTATTGGACGTGAGGACATCAATTTGAAATACCATCGCTGGAGCAGAGAAGGAGACAGGCTGGAGGGAGCGCTCTAACAACCATCAGGCTGCGAGTTTCGGATGAATATAACTTTGTTGTTTTCGCACACTGTCTGCGTCCAAGTGCGGACAACCGGACCAGCACTGATGTGCAAGTTCGGGTGTGCGGATGACAGCATACAGCCGCGTCCTGCCATAGGGAAGAACAGAGTGCTGCGTGCAATTAATTGCAGCACCTGTCTCTCCTGAGATAAGGCCTAACCCTTGCACTGGGGGGGCGGTGGCCCCACTGCAAGGGTAAGAATTTTTTCCCCCCGAAGTTCATTAAAATTTCCAAGCAATGTATGGCAGCTCATTCAAAGTAAGAGGATTGCCTTAATATAATGAATGTTAACATGCATGTGAGAACACACCATAACAGAGTGAATATGGCCTTAAGTTCTTTCTATTTTAATCATCAATAAATTATATCTAAATCCATTTTTTTTATCTTGGATAGTGTAGGGGAGGATGAAAACCACTGTCAGTTTCCTTTTTGCTGTGTCTAATTAGGAAGAGTTGACTTTACTTCCTGTCATCCGGCAGACTGCACCGGGGGGGCATATATTTCAAACATGAGCAGAATCCCTTCTCAGACAATTGTCACGAGAACACATTTTTCCACTGGAAAAACCTCTCCCTATTCCTGTTCTGGTGTCCTGTTTAACCTCACTTTTATTCCCAGTGACATTTGTGATCAGGACATGTAGAGAGAGTGAATCTCCCTAAAGGTGGCCATACACTGTACTGGTTGTAAAGTGATTAAAAAAACGTACGATCTGCCCATCTTGGACAGGCAGATCGTACTCTCGATCATCGCAAGCCCGCCCCCCCGAGGGGCGGACTTCCGATGACCGCAATGCTGAACGGGCAGTGTGCGCGTGCGCACACCGGCCCGTTTGGCATTTGTCTCCCGAGCACCGTTCAAACAAGCCGAAAATCGTACGATTTTCGCCTGGTTTTCTAGCGTGCTCCTTAGACAAAAGACGTGCGACTGTACAGTAGAAACGGTCGCACGTCTTCGTTCACACTGCTCGATTCTCGTACGATCGCGGGATTTCCTGCGATTCTCGTACGAGAATCGAGCAGTGTATGGGCACCTAACAGGGACACAGGAAGCAAAAAATCCTGACAGGGATTCTAACCTCTCAACATTCTATCCAAATCTAAAGTATAATGTGTCCATTAGTTAAATTTACTACCACATATGCGCAGATCTGGCTATACAGGGATATTATTCAGCCTCCACAGTCAAGGTGGCCCAAGTGTGGGCTGATTATTAGCAGAGTAAGGTAAATGTCTTCCTCTCTGCCAACAAATGGACATTGATTTGGCACTTCACATCTGGACCATATGTAAATGCACTAGCTACTTCCTCACAATAAAACAGCTGGCTTAAAAGGAGAACTTAAAAGGCTTTTCCCCATAGTTCTCCTTAGGGTAACGGGAGGACACAAACTAGCGTTCTAGAGGCAGAGCCAGCTGTAACCGCCCCCTCCCCCGTCCGTTCCGCCAGTCAGCGCTGGCGTTTTGGAGCGGGGAGGGGGCAATGCAGCACCTCCCCTGTCACGGCAGAGAGCCGTGACAGGATCGAGAGGTGAGCGAACGCCGGTATGTGTTCGCTCACCTCCCGATCTACTGAGCCGACCTGTGACAGTCTCATTGTCACAGGTCGGCTAGAACTATGAGGTGAGTGAAAAGCACTCACCTCATGGTTCTCCTTTAATCTCTGTGGCAATCTGCAAAGAGCAGATACAGATGAAGTGCAAACTTCAGTTACTTTGTTTGGATAAAAGACCTCCCTGTGTATTGTATGTATTGTCCCTAAAGGCAGTACAACCTTGATCAATCAAGTAAGAGAAAGAAATGTCAGAGTTGGTAGAGTGAGATCTTGCCTACCTCCCGGGATAATCCAGACAGTCCACTTGACTGTATTTCCCGCTCTATGGTTATCTGAGCATGGGATCCCTGTAGCTTCTTGTCTGCAGCCACAACAGCAAGGATTTTCTTTTCCAGTTCCATTAAAGGTTTCTGCAGCTCATCCCGGCGGAGGAAGATATCTGAGAGTGAACTAAAACCAGTGTTCTCTTTCTCCAAGTTACTCAGGAGCCATGTTGGAAAGAGAGCTTGAACCTGATAGAACAGACACATAGACACATTAAGCTAAACATTACTAAAAATGGGCGCACACATAATGGTAAATAGCTAACTGATCATGTGAAACAACACTTCACTATAATAAATTGGGAGCACAACAAACAAAAGAACAGTTTGGTTAATTTTATTGGCGTTTTCAATGTCCAAAATTGAAACCAGTCATAAAAAAGATTACTAAGTGAACACTGATGGCTTATCTAGCAAAAAAAAAAAAGAAAATAAACAGGATCATGGGTGAATCCCATCCCTAACATCCTGGGGTTATACTCCCCTGCCATGTTGAGCAGTGGTGCTGCTTTCTCCAGGGATAACGGGAACAAACTAAAACCAGGTCACAATAATGACTAACATAAAAGCAAAACATTAGTAAACCTGTGTAGCAGAGTATACAGATTTAAATAAATACATCCTCTAAAAGATAAAGGTAAAATGTGTATTCTAATTAATCACAGGATTAATTAGGCAGTTCAAGGTACACTGACCATATGTAAAATGCAATAATACAAAGCAAGCTTGGTCAAATTAGCTAATAGGTGATTTCTGGCTGGTTGCTAATGGTTACTGCTCTTTGCACACAGACTTTGCCCTTTGTGTTTTTGTGAAATGGGGCCATATTTATAGTAAATGCAATAACGGATCATAAGAGAAATATGTATATTACTACAATTATATTATTTGCAATACAAAGAAACACTGCAATTTGTACATGCAGATGGTTTTACTTCTTGATCCAGTTGGAGGAGTGTTCAAAAAAACAAGTTTAAAAAAAAAAAAAATCTCCAAAGGAAAAATAGCAAACTCACCTCATCTCTGACTCCTTTTATCTGGCCAGGAATGGCTGCCATTTGCTGAGAAACGTCACCCTGGGTCTTTCTAACAGATACCAACTCTTGCTGCAGATGTAGGAGTTTTGTTTCCAATTTTCCTAAATTTTGCAGGAAATTCTCCCTTAAACTGTCCTGAGGACTGTATAGAAAAAACAAAACTAGGTATTCCTCTCATAAGCAATTCCATGAAAATATTATATATGATTCTGTTGTCTAATTTTTTTTATTCTGGCACAGCTAAATACATTCCCAGACAAGTGACATAGAATAGATGCACAATGGCAAATGCTAGGAATATGCATACAAACACTTATTATTACTTCTTTAAGTGATGTTTATGCACTGACAACTCTCAGCAATAGATCGATCAGCCATAACATTATGACCACTATGAACATTTTGTCCCTGCAGTTGATTTGTTGGAAGCAGAAAAAATAGGCAAGCGTAAGGATTTGAGCCACTATAACAAGAGCCAAATTGTGATGGCTAGACAACTTGGTCAACTCCAAAACTGCAGCTCTTGTGGAATGTTCCCAGTCTTCAGTGATCAGGACCTATCAAAAGTGGACCAAAGAAGGAAAACTGGTGAACCAGCAACAGGATCATGGGCGTCCAAGGCTCATTGATGCACGTGGGGAGTGAAGGCTGGCTAGTGTGGTCCGATGAAATAGAAGAGCTACTGTAGCTCAAATTGCTTAAAAAGGTAATGCTGGTTCTGATAGAAATGTGTCTAAACATCACAGTGTATTGCATATGGGGTCGCATAGCCGCTGACTGGTCAGGGTGCCCAATGCCGACCCGGGTGCACCCCCAAAAGTGCCTGCAATGGGAACGTGAGCATCAGATCTGGACCACGGAGCAATGGAAGAAGGTGGCCTGGTGCATGTGTGTCACTTACCTAGGGAAGAGATGGCACCAGGGTGCACTATAGGAGAAAGGCAGGTGGTAGGTGGAGGAAGTGTGATGGTGTGTGCAATATTCTGCTGTGAAACCTTGGGCCCTGCCATTCATGTGAATGTTACTTTGACACATACCACCTACCTAAACATTGCTGCTGACCAAGTACACCCCTTCACGTAAACGGTATTCCCTGATGGCAGTGGCCTCTTTCAGCAAGATAATGCGCCCTGCCACACTGCAAAAATGGTTCGAGAATGGTTTGAAGGACACAATGTCGAGTTTAAGGTGTTGACTAGGCCTCAAAGTTCTCCTGATCTCAATCTAATAATGCATCTTTGAGATGTGCTGGAAAAGCAAGTCTGATCCATGAAGGCCTCACCTCGCAACTTACAGGACTTAAAGTGCCACTAAACTCTGGAAGTAAATCTTAAAAATGCAATCAAGTACCCTAACTGTTTACAAAACTGTACCTTATTCAGATGTAGATCCTCAAATAGTCTCCGAACTTGTACGGACATTATCCTTCCTTCTGGGAGGTGGCTACTTTGGTTCCCCATGATCCCTATGTATGTTGTAAAATTGTCATCGCTCCAAGCTCACCCCCTTTGATGGACTATAACCTCAAGTTTAGTTTACTAAATTGAAGTCCATCATGGGAACAAACTAGGAGCTGTGGCTACTTTTCAACAGACACAGGGACCTTGGGGAACCAAAGTAGCTACGCCCCAAAAGGAAGGCCATGTCAGTATGAATTCACAGATGATTTGAGGATCTACAGCTGAATGATGCAGAAATAAGCTACATGTTTGTTAATAGTTACGTTACAGTACTTGAATGCATTTCTAAGAATTAACTCTTGAGTTTAGTGTCACTTTAAAGGTCTGATACTGACAGTTTGGTGACAAATACCACAGCATATATTCAGAGGTATAGTAGAGACCATGCCTCAATGGGTCAGGACTGTTTTGGCAACAAAAGGGGGATCTACTCAATATTAGGCAGGTGGTCATAATGTTATGACTGATTGGTGTATACCGGTTTTCATGGTATCGAGTACGAGTACCGATATTTTTTTCCCGGTACTCGCCAATACGGAATACCGGAAGTCCCATTAAGGAAGCCAGGTGGCGTTTAATGACTTGCCACCTGGCTTGCTAATTAGCTGGAAAGCTGGGTGGTGTGTAAAGACTCGCCACCTGGCTTCCCGATCAGCAGGCAAGCCGTCTCCATGCTCTCCCGTCACCAGGGGGCAAGGGAGTATGAAGCCAGCTTTCTGGCCAATCAGGGAGCCGGAGGGCGGGTAATGACTCGCCGGCCGGCTTCCTCATTGGCCATCTTCCCGACCAATCAGGAAGCTAGGTTGCCAGTCATTACATGCTGCCCGGCTTCCTGATTGGCCGGGAAGCCAGCTCCATGCTCCCTCGGCACCAAGAGACGAGGGAGCATAGAGCCGGCTTCCCGACCAATCAGGAAGCTGGGCAGTGTGTATTGACTCGCTGACCAGCTTCCTGATACCGGAAGTTCGGGTATCGGTCTAGGCATCGGAGCATTTGGGCGTGTACGAGTACTCGCCCAAATACTCGGTATCGGTGCATCCCTACTAGAAATGTAACCAGCATCCAGTTATCTACTGTTGCCATATACATCTTGAAACAAAGGTGTTTGTTAGAAGCACTGTGCAAACAGAAATATTTTAGACACACTGGTATCTATGGCTTTTTTACACAATCTAGTCACCCAGTAAGTAAAAATGTAATATATAGATACATAGGTTGAAAAAAAGACACACCCTGCCTCTTGTGTTTTTTTAACTTATATAAATAAGAAATTACATATTTGTGTATAGTTTATTCAACAAAATAACAGATATGACTATGGTGCAGTACCACACACTGGTGCAAAGAATGCAATCATCCACTGATATACTGTATGTGTAGCATTCTTTGTTTACCTTTTAACCTCTGCCCTTAGCTGCAAAATCTGGTCTTCTGCATCCTGTGGAAAGAAATGTCAGTCTGTCTTCAGTGACAATGCATAACTTTTTTTACATTCCCACAAGTATGTCACATACATTTAGCCTACATCTGACCTGAAAGTGACACTTACAGATTTTAGTATTAGATTTTATCTTCCCATGTTTTTCTCATCACTACATTGATATGCCAAAATGTGGAGCCATGTCTGTTTTTCTTTTACAACAGTTTTATTGGTAAAAGAAATACAGGTTAAACAGAATGGCAGCATTACAACAAAAGAAAGAAAAAACAGGGAACAGAGGATATGTATAATCTTTGTCAAAAGACAACAGAAACATTAGCTATGATGTACCGTATTTGCCAGCATATAAGGCGACTAGATTTTTGAGGCGATCCCCTAATTTTCCAGTTGAAACATAGGTTTTGGGCTATACTCATCGTATAATATGAAGCCTTCCGAGGCTTCATATTTGCTTCTTCTTGCTGGAGCCATGATAGGGTCTTGTCTACCAGCCATTTTGTTTAAATACACCCACTAATCTGTCAGCCCGCTGGATGTGCGGTAATACTGGGTAATACTGTATGTACAGCAGCATCGGCTACATACAGTATACCGCGCTGAGCCAATCACGGCGAGCGATGTATTCTTTTAATTAATACTACAAAGACTGCTCGGATTGGCAGAGGTTGTGTCCATCGCTCGGCCGTGATTGGCTCAGTGCGGTATACTGTATGTAGCCGAAGCTACCGAATATACAGTATTACCGCACATCCAGCGGGCTGACAGATTAGGGACGTTCGTTTTGTGCCAGCTTGGCCCAAACGAACTAAAGGTTCACATTGTATACCCCTCATATAAGACGACCCCCGATTTTCAGGGGATGTTTTTAAGTATAAAAAGTCGTCTTATATGCCGGCAAATACGGTAGGCATACATACAAATTAAAGCCATTATCCTGCTATATATCAAAACGATGAGGTCTGTGCCCCTGCTTTCTCCTCAAAGCACCCCCAACTCTCTAGTGGGTCTACGGGGTGCAATATGGGGATAAACAACAAAAGGACACAGATCCAACAATAGTCTGGCACAATCTTAGGACCATCAAAAAAGAAAAAAAAGGTGGTGAGGGTTACACTTGGTACACAAAACCCAGTGTGACAAAACCCAGTCAGACAGAAATAAGTATCAATGGGCCCCGGCATGCTGAGATACGGTAAACATGCCAAGCAATGCCATCAGTTGTGAAAAAAAAATATTAGTGAAACAGAATAAGGACTAGAAAAAGAGGAGCAAACAGGAAAGACAAGGGTAGGAAGATAGAGAGCTGCACAGGGATCAGCCCAGACCCCGAGACCGCCATGGCTGTTTTTCATTTTTGAGAGTTCAACTCGCAATATATTTTCTTCACCTTGGATATCTGATGAATTTTTTGAAGAATGCCCTGGAGATGATCATGTTGCTCCTGTCTCAGTCCTATCAGTGCACTCTAAAACAATAAAACCCATAAGTACAGTTAAATGACATTATGTAGTCACAATTCTATGCATTTAAATCATTAAAAATACCTGTTTATTACATGTTCTCACAGCCACTATATTATGTATTGCAAGGGCCTGACTTTCATGCACCTAATCATTTACGAGGTGGAAAACAGGATCCATTGGATATTTACAAATGAAAAATTAATAGAAAGGCAGCTTAACACTATGGTCAAATTTGAGAAAGTCTGAGAACCTTGGATTAGGCATTACCTACCTCCTTTTGATCGTCAACTGCTGGTCATGTAGACTACCGCATATAATGTACTCCACTTTTGCTGATTTTGGAAGTACCGATGCTGCCCCTCACCTTACTTATCCCCTTCTTTTTCTATCTAGAATTTGACCAAATTGTTGTTCACCTATTCTATTAATTTCAACGTGAGAAGGATTGTTCTTCCTACTGCTTCTCCTTCACCAAAGATATTTATATTTTTTGCCAATTTGGCTGTATCTGATATGATTTTTCTCAATATTGCTGTTTGTCAGATCTGGATACTATATTTTCCGATATTACTTTATTGTTTTAATGTTGTAAACTTCTGTAATCGCGAATAAAAAGTTTTTAAAATGTAAAAATACCCATTTATTATACCTTTGTCGTCTCTGTGCTTTCCTGCAGAATCTGTTCTCTTAAGGCTGAATCTTTGTTGCTGGACAAGTCTTTGAAGATCTGAAGAACCTCTTTTCGACTCATGCCTGTGTCTGTTGTGGGGGCAGGTTCCATACTTCTTAACAATTTTTGCTCATCCTCTAGGCCCTGAAACCTCTTCTCTAGAAACTCCATGCGGGACATTAAATCAGCCTTTAAAATAAAAAAATTGTGTTAAAAATGTTTTAACATACAGTAATACTACTGCTGCTGCTACTGTTCTAAGAAAAAACTGTGTCACATTGTGCAGCAGAAAAACAGATGACAGCCTGAAAATAAAGTGTATCAATCATCTAACTGTCATTTGAGAGTGAGTATAGAATAAAGAAGTTTTTGACCTGTATCTGGATATTAGGTGCCACACCCCTAATAATGGTATACACAAAGAAAGTTCTTTAAAGAGAAAGTGGGGTTTTGAAAGCACCGGATAAATGACAACTCCAAACAGAAAAATACATAAAAGATATATTTATTTGATATAAATCTTAAAAAGAGAAAAGACAGGCTCAAAGCCAATGATAAAAATTATTTAGCTAAATAGATAGTCCCTACACAGCTCTTTCCACATAGCACAGTACCTCTTCATTTACAAAGCCAACATGATTCACCCTATGTTCTTATGGACGCACATGATTTGGTATTATAGTGCCAATGACCAGATTAACATACTAACATACAGAGAGGCCCTTGACAAGAATGTTCATAGGGCTGTGAAATACAATATTGTTCTTCGCTATTACTGCTTTAGGAACAGAATGTGGCCCTGGGAACAAAACATGATTCAATTGGTGGTAGGGAGCAACCAAACAAGCATGATAAAATATAGAAACCAATGCTGGTTCAATTAGGGATCCACATGATTCCTCATCCAAATTGATGGGTTTGAAGTCTTTGTCCACAATAGTGCTTAGTCTAGTGTCCACAATGTATAGGTATTGGATTCTGTGGGTAGTGCTTGAAGGGTTGGAAGGTGGAGCAGATCTATTCTCCACTAATGCCAACCCACAAGCAACTTATAGCCACCTTGAGAATTCATACAAGGGTAATCACAATGATTGTCAGAGATTTCACATAGTTTGGGACACATGATTAAGGCATATTGCAGATGGTCATGATTATATCAAAAAACAGTGCGATTCACCATTAGATTACAAGCATATATATACTTAAGTTAATTCATTGTATAAGGATAACAGGAAATTCATAAATAAAAATAACAAGAGAATGAATGGTCTATGGTGAGCAGGTTTGTTGGTCCTGCCCTGCACACAAATTGACTACCAAAATAGACTGTATATTGGAATTATATATTCACATAAAGTGACAGTACTTATAAGATTCAATCAGGTAGTAGGACCAGAACTTATGATGACAACAAGTTCCCACTATGTCATGGTGTCGAAGACCTAGGTGGTGATCATGTGGTCGATGGTAACTGCTAATGAAGGGTAGGGGTAAGGAAGAGCAACTTCAACGTTTCGCGCAACTCTGCGCTTCTTCAGGAATGGAAGGGAGATATCTGCTAGTTTTGCACATGCAGGTATATGCGTGTGTTCCCAAGCGAAAGCCGCCCGGACGGCTATTTACGACCTCCTGCTGCAACACCTTTTCTCTGACACCCCTAGATATTTTGTGGAATGGGCTAAGGACCTGTCGTGTACTTTTTCTATTTCAGCCATTAATAAATCGCTTGCCTTCACACACAAAATATCAGTTGCCAGTAGAGCTCAGGAACGCAATTTTAAAATTCTATCCAGGTGGTACTATTGTCCAACCCGACTCCGAGCTATATACCCTCAGACCTCTGACCTGTGCTGGAGGTGCTCCTTACACCCTGGCTCCATGTTGCACGTATGGTGGAGTTGCGATGGGGTTGCCACATTTTGGGCCCCCATCTTCTCCACATATGAGAAACTCACGGGCAGAAGAATTGAGGGTACCCCACAGCTAGCCCTTCTCTCTGTTTCCGGGATCATACAAGTCAGTCAAAAAAGGCTTACTCCGCTTCTTTGTTCTGGCGGGTAGGGCGGTCATACCGAGGCACTGGAAATCCGCTATTAATCCTAACCTGAAGGAATGGATCGAAGAGATGCAGTCCATATGTAGGACTGAGGAGCTCACAGGCCAGCTATATGATCGCTATTCCCAATTTTATGGAGTCTGGAGTGTATGGATACACTTCTGCACCACTGATACGTTTCGTACATTACTTGACACCTGAGAGACCTGGACCACCTGAGAGAAGGGCCTAGGAGTATTTATAGACTATTGTGAATGGACGGACCCTCTTCCTGTGTCTGCTTCTGTATCTGTACTATACTTGGCTAGATCTCTGGCCTCCCTTTTTCCTCTTCTCATGACCTGTACTTACCTTTTTCTCCTCAAACTTTGCTTTCTTCTCGTCTCTTTTCTGCTTTCCTTTCCTTAAATACAGTCTATGCACTATATGGTACGGAGTATGATTCGCACATTACGGCTCCCTTTGTGGCTCCTTAGCAAAGTGCCTTGGATTATGAGAATGCTCTTCAATTAAACTGGGTCAGGATATATATGTAAGACAGACGGCCATGACAGACATGGTATATTTTCTCAAGCAGGGAGATGTCATTAAGGCTTTTCAACTACGTACCTACATAATGTGCCACGCTATCACATCCTTGTGCAGATGATGTATTGTGATGTATTGTTTTTTATTGTCTGTCTTATTGCTCATATGTAAAATTATCTTCAATAAAAACATATTCTTTAAAAAAAAAATATGCATAATGAAGAAAACGAGAAATCCCTTAAGGTGCATAAGAGCACAAAGCAAAACAAAGAAAGTAGAACGTGCTTTTGCTGTAAAAAAAAGACTGGTTGTCGGAAAAAGGACTGTTCAGTCTGGAAAGCCGAGCAGCGAAAGCAAGAGGCACCTACAAGAGAAAGAGCTAAGGCAGCCACAAAGGCAACTGCAGGCACATCATGGAGTGCTACCTTTAAAGTGACTCAGAACAGTATACCATGCGGATAGTGTATTGACTCAGGCGCAACAAGTCACATGACCAGTGATGAGACCTTCTTCACATAAATTGTTATCAGTGCAAAGAACAAACTTTTCCTAACAAATGGGAAAAGTATTACTGCAGAAAATAACGGTCAGGATTCTTGAACTGCATCTGTAACACCTCTGCAACGCACGCCTAGGATCACAACTGCGGAGTAACGGAATTAACGGTTTAGTCAGTGAGCGGTCTTTATCATACTCTCTCAGCAACTTAGAGATGTGTATGAGACCGGTAACATCATGTAACCATGGTGGAATAATGGGGTAATCAGGATTACTGTGACACCTTTGAAGTGTATGACACAACTTTAGTAGGAGCCCCAAGAGGCCAGTTGAGGATCAGCAAGGCAGCATGGTAAGTATGGTACCTCACTATGATTGAAGTACGCAACTTCCTACAGTATGTCCATACACAACACAATTGATATGGCAAGTCACAGGTAAGTAAGTACAGTTCTGGTATGTCACAGGTGTGGGAAAAATAGGATTTTGTACTCACCGTAAAATCCTTTTCTCTCCGTTCATTGAAGGACACAGGGCAACAGATCGGAGATCCTGTATGGTAGGGTATATCGCCACCTGCCGGAGTAGGACGCTAGGCAGATAACAAAAAGACAAGACAGCCTAGGGGCGGCCCCTGCTGGTGGCCCAACCCCCCACTTGCTGACACGTCTCCAGTTAGTAACAAGCAGTTAGGAGTGTACACCCATATAAGAGGGCAGGACCTGTGTCCTTCAATGAACGGAGAGAAAAGGATTTTACGGTGAGTACAAAAATCCTATTTTCTCTCCCTATCATTGGAGGACACAGGGCAACAGATCGGAGATCCTGTATGGTAGGGACGTCACCAAGCAGTAACCCCTGAGGGATGGGCAAACAACAACAAACAACCCAAGAACCCCTCAAAGAGCCACCTGCAAAACCATGCGCCCCAAACCAGCATCCGCCGATGCCAACACATCCACCCTGTAAAACGTAACAAAGGTGTGAACCGAAGACCAAGTAGCGGCCTTACAAACCTGAGAAACAGAGGCACCATGGCGAAAGGCCCAGGATGCCCCAACAGCCCTAGTGCAATGGGCAGTGACAGGAAAAGGGGGCTCCTGCCCCTTAACGGCGTACGCCTGTACGACTACATTCCGAATCCAACGGGAAATGGTAGCCGCCGAGGCAGCTCGACCCTTACGAGGGCCCCCCGCGAGCACAAACAAGGAATCTGTCTCACAGAACGACGCAGTTGCGTCCAAATAGGTACGAAGAGCGCGCACCACATCCAGGCAATGCAGCGCCCGTTCCTTCCTGTGTACTGGCTTCGGGCACAAGGAAGGCAGGACAATGTCCTCATTCAAATGGAATGCCGACACAACCTTAGGCAGGAAGGCCGGCCGAGGCCAGAGAACCGCCTTGTCCCTATGGAGAACCAGAAACGGCGACTTGCAGGACAAAGCCACCAAAAATGCCACCTTCTGGGACAAGGACAGAAGTGGAATCTCGCGGAGAGGCTCAAATGGAGATTCCTGCAGGACTGAAAGCACCAGGTTCAGATCCCACGGAGCCAAGGGCGAACGAACCAGGGGCGCAATACGCGTGACCCCTTGGACAAAAGTGCGGATGGTGGAGAGCCGCCAACCGCAGGGGGGAAAGCCATGTGTTAGACGGGAAGAAACGGTGGCCCGGGCGGGACAGGAATTCGATCTTGTAGCCTGACGACACCAGCTCCCGAACCCAAGTGTCCGAGACGTGAGCCAACCAAAAGTCCGCAAAGAGCCGCAGGCGCCCCCCCACCCCGAACCGGGGCCCGACCTTCATGCGGATGGGGGCTTGGCAGACTTAGGCTGCCAGGGACACTTGGTAGACTGCGAGGAGGAGGCTTTGGTTAACTTGCCGCCCTTCTCGGAGGGGGGCGAAAAAGCCGCTTGTGAGCGGAGGAGGGCCCGGGCTTCCGACGCTGTTCTGGCTTGCGCAACTGAGGCAGGAAGGTACTCTTACCCCCCGTCAAATCCTTGATGATGTCATCCAGGGTGGAGCTAAACAGATGATCCCCAGTAAAGGGGAGCTCCGTCCGTAACTTTTAAGGACTGGCTAGTAGCTCAGGACTTGAAATTTTGAG